CGATGGTCCTCCGCCATCAACTCCGCTGGACCGGCCACGTTGTCCGGATGCCCGATCACCGTCTCCCAAAGCAGTTGCTCTACTCCGAACTCAAAAATGGAAACGGAATATTGGAGGACAGGAAAAGAGATTCAAAGATGGGCTCAAAGCCAATCTTAAAAACTCTGGCATTGACACTGAGAACTGGGAAGCCTTGGCCCTTGAGAGGTCAGCTCTGACCAGCAGTGCTGTAGAATTTGAAGAGGCACGAATGGAGGGCAAAAGAGAGAAACGTGCCAAGAGGAAGGCGTGTCAAGCCAACCCCAACCGGGACCGCCTTCCACCTGGAAACCAATGCCCTCACTGCGGGAGAACATGCAGGTCAAGAATAGGGCTCCACAGTCACCTATGGATCCACCCAGGTTGCCCAACTTGGAAGACAATCCTACTCACACAATGAGGAATCACATATGTAAGGTACAACTCTGAGGTTTTCATGGCATTTAGCCCGAGCTGTTAAAGTTTTGTCAAAGTAGTTTAATTCTACAATGTAGATGCACACTTTGTTTCAGGTTTAGTCCGTAGAATCCAAGATATGGTGCTCATGTTGCCTTTCAAGAGAGAAATGTATTAGAGCTTACCCGAACCTCCTGAGAAGGATTGTTGGTCCAAATTAGTGCCACAAAAGTTCTTCAGACCGTATGCCTCTCTTCTCCTTTTCCTCCCTTTGACACTGGCTTCAGCTTGACCACCTTTTTTATAGCCCAAAGTGAACCAAGAATGAGGAAATACTGTGTACATTTTTGAGCTAGGCATGTGAACTTGCTTTAACAATCCTGCCTAAATATGAAATCAATGCAAAGCTTGAATTACTTTCTGACCGTCAATGAATACCTGGGTCGCCTTTGCAGAAGCATACGAGCTCGGCCAAAGTCCTCTTCCAGCAGTCACCAGCCAATTCTTCTCCAATGCCAGAAATACAGCTTAATGGTGTAACATTAGAAAATGTTGACCATTTCCGCTCCCCTGGCAGCCACCTCTCCACAAAAGTCAACATTGACACTGAAATACAACATTACCCGAACTCTGCGAGTGCAGCATTCTTCCGAATGAAGCAGAAAGTGTTTGAGGACTGGGACATCCGTAGGGATACCAAGGTGCTTGTTTATAAAGTCATTGTCCTCCCAACCCTGGTATAGGCCTGCAAAACGTGGACTGTCTACAGATGTCACACTCAACTCCTTGAATGATTCCGTCAGTGTCGCCTATGAAAAATCCTGCAAATCTCTTGGGAAGACAGGCGGGGAAATGTCAGCATGCTGGAAGAATCAAAGACCACCAGCATCGAAGCCATGGTTCTACACCATCAACTCCGCTGGACCAGCCACGTTGTCCGGATGCCCGACCACTGTCTCCCAAAGCAGTTGCTCTACTCCGAACTCAAGAATGGAAAAAAAAATGTTGGAGGACAGGAAAAGAGATTTAAAGGTAGGCTCAAAGCAAAGAGAGAAGGCTCAACTTCGCAGGTCCTCTAGATTAGCAGAGAAATTAGTTCTCAATAGGTAGCACCTACTGAGCTAGCATATAAGGGGATCAAGCTAGCATATAAGGTGATCATATAAGGTGATTTTTTTCCGAGCCCAATTTAAGGTGCAGGTGCTTACCTACAAAGCCCTAAACGGTTTGGGACCATCCTCTAGATTACCTGCGTGACCGCATCTCCATCTACGAACCCACGCGCTCACTTCGTTCATCCGGAGAGGCCCTGCTCGCGATTCCGCCTACGTCGCAGGCGCGTCTGGTGGGGACGCAAGACAGGGCCTTTTCTGTGGTGGCCCCCCGACTCTGGAACACCCTCCCCAAAGATCTTAGACAGGCCCCTACATTGGCAGTCTTTAGGAAGAACTTGAAGACCTGGCTGTAGAATAGGAAAACTCCAACAACAAGTCCCAGAAGCACTTTAGTAGAAATTAAGATTGCTGGCACACTGCACTTACCCTATAATCCTTCATATCACCTGTCACATCAGCACTTTTAATTCTGTACCCATAACTCTGGCCCAGTCCAATTTTATTGTGTCTTGGTGTATTGTTTTATTGTTTGTTGTTTTAATATTGCTTTAACTGTTTTTTATTTGCTTTAGGTTGTGTATTGTTATGCTATGTTTTGAGGCCTTGGCCTTTGTAAGCCGCATCGAGTCCTTCGGGAGATGCTAGCGGGGTACAAATAAAGATAATAATAATAATAAATAAATAATCAAGTGTGGTACATTGTTGCTGGCAGCAACGTCAGCCTTTGGAGCCGTGACCATGTGCTACTGGTGATCCTTGAACTATCTCTTTGGACTCTGGTGTTTGGATTTTTGGATTAGCCCTTGACTTTATTCTCTGTTGTAATAGGCTTTGGAACTTGGAATGGACTGTTGGCTTCTCTGTTGTTCCTCCCTGCTGTTATCTCTCAGCTGAATTCTGTTGCTTGGACTCTGACTGTGTGTTAACTCCACTAAGAAAATTCACCAAAGGCTTTGTTCAGCAAAGGATAAGAGAGATCCTCTAACCACTGCAGGAGTCTACCATATACCATGCAGCTGTGGACAAGTCTACATTGAGACCATCAAATGCAACATTACCCAGAGATGGATCAAAGGACATGAAAGGCACTGTAGACTAATTCAATCAGAGAAGTCAGCCAAAGGAGGCAGTTGTGAAGCCCACCATTATGGGCAACTATTGGCCAGTTGTCCAACCTTCCTTTTTTGAGCAAGGTATTGGAGCATGTGGTGGCTTCCCAACTCCAGGAGTTTCTGGATGAAATTGATTATCTAGATCAGTGGTTCTCAACCTGGGGTCCCCAGATATTTTTGGCCTACAACTCCCAGAAATCCCAGCCAGTTTACCAGCTGTTAGGATTTCTGGGAGTTGAAGGCCAAAAACATCTGGGGACCCCAGGTTGAGAACCACTGATCTAGATCAATTTCATTGTAGTTTAGTCACCTTGGTGGATGACCTATGGAGGGAACAGGACAGGGAGAGTGTATCCCTGTTGGTTCTCCTGGATCTCTCAGCAGGTTTCTATAACATTGATCATTGTGAGTCACATTTCTGGAATGGAGCTTGGAGGCACTGTTCTTCAGTGGCTCTGGTCCATCCTGGAGGGCCATACCCAGAAGGTGATGCTGGGAGACTCCTGTTCGAATCCCCAGCTGTTGATCTGTATGGTCCCTCAGGGTTCCATTTTGTCCCCCATGCTGTTTAACATATACATGAAACCACTGGGAGAGATCATCCAGAGTTTTGGCATGCGGTCCCACCTATATGCAGATGATACCACACTCTATTACTTATTTACACCTAATGTCAAGGAAGTGATTCCTGGGCAAAATTGTGACTCAGCTTGACTCTGAGTGTGAAGCTGAGCTGTTTGGGCCTTCTGGGCCTGATTTAGCTGAGCCTGATTTCCCGCAGGATGATGAGGCGGCTGATGGTTTACAGATTCCTGTATATGTTTCAGACGGGGCTGATCGTGTGGCTGCTGAAGGAGAAACAACAAGTCAGTTCCCCGGGGAAAGGAATGTTCCTGTAACTAGAGAGACTGATAGCGAGAGTGAAATCCCACACGGCCAGGTGGAGGATCTGTCCCAGCTGGACCCAGATAAGGGGTTGCATAGCCTTGCAGATAATGAACTAATGAGCAGACGAGATCGTTTGCAATTAAGGCTTCAGAGAAGCACTCGCTTGGCCAGCAAGCGAGAAGTCAAAGGTGCCCAAGGTCAACGCAATGCTTTCATGTTCGCAAAGGGTATTTAGTCTTGTAGCTGACAGGCAGTTGTTGTCAGTCCAACATTGCTCTTCCCATGTTAAATTCTGTAGATTTTCCTTGGCTTTTTGCAGCACGCTTCTGGCTTCCTTAGTCTGGGATTTGGGTCTTGTTTTCAACTGTTTACCATGGACTTTTGTTTGACCATTGCTAAGGGAATATGCTTCCTGTTTTTGCCTTTGGATCTTGGGAACTTTGCCTTTATATTTAAGCCTCTGTTTTGCCTATGGAACTATTGCATTTCTATTTCTTTGTTTTTATTTTGCTTCTCTCAATAAACTACAAAAACCTACAGCCTTGGTATGGTGGTGTCTGGAACAAGGTGAAAACTACCCTGAGTTGCAACAGCTAAATGGAGTGGATGAGGGTAAACTAATCAAAGCTTAATACAGACAAAAAGGTGCTCCTGTTCAGTCAAAGGACAGATCTGGGAATAGGGATTCAGCTTATGTTACGGGGGTCACACTCCACCTGAAAACCAGTTCTCAGTTCGGGGGGTCTCTATAGTCAACTTCCAGGGGAGGATCTAGAAATTCCTAAAGTGAACTATTCAATCATATTCCCAAAGAATCAAAGGCAAGCATGTGTTATTATCTTTGTAGACACTTTCTTGTCCAAGCGTTCAGAATCATGGAACAACTGGTTGGTCAAGAAGTTTAAGCTTTGTGTTTATCTGATTATTTTCCAAGGTTGTTAAAGCACACTTCCCTGTTCAGCTCAACAATTTGGAAATTTTTTCCTCATTCTTGGCTGAGTTTGGACTATAAAAAGGTGATCCAGTTGAAGCCAGTATCACAGGTCAGGAAAAGGAGAAAAGAGCCATGTGATGAAATGAAAACCATGCGTAGTTCACATTTGATCAGCCACATACTGCCTTGCCAGAGAAAAAAAAATATGCCACACAGATGAACAGTGAAGAACAAATAGTTGTTCTGAACTCTTCGTAGTTCAGAACAACATATGTACAATCATTTGAACAGTTGCGTCACGATGCCAGGGCTCTGCCGGTATTCAGGCAGAGGTGTATCAAACAAACACCCAGTTTGTATTCAACAGTTTAATTAAAACAGCACTTACTATCTGGCTGTTTTAATAGTCCAAAACATAAAACATAAAGATAGCACTCAGCCACAGAATATAAAACAAAACTGACACTGTTGCAGGTTCAGGAACTCGTTTTAAGAAAAATCAAGGAAGAGATTCAATTATGAGATGTTAGCAACAGCCAATGTGTTTATTGAAAGGATTACATGGTAATTGCAAGAGATCCAGTCCGCTGGGATCTTATTAGATCAATAAAACAAAAATATTCATTGAAGAGATTTGCATCCTTTGCTGGCTGGCGTTGTGTTCAGAGACGTTTCTGTTTCACCGATCCTCTGCTTTTACAGGCAAAACACCAGAGCGTTCTAAGCAAGGAGAAGGGGAAAATAAGTTGTTTAAAACATGTCATTTCTTCATGTTTCATCTCCCATAAAGCAAACACCATTTATATTGTTTGTGATTGTCCCTGGGTGCATCTACAATGTCGTGTAGTCAAACTGAATTAATTCCACGGTGTAGACGCAGCCTTAGTTCTGGAGGTTCGCAATATTCTCCTTTCTTCCCATTTTTCCCAAAAAATTACTTTTCTTTTTTTCTTTTGTCTTCTCCATTTACCCCTCCATCTTTTCCCCAGACCAATTTCAGACTGTTATATTGTTAATTCTTTTGAAAGTATACATGTATTAAAATCAATATATATATTTACTATTTTTTCCAAAAAAATCATCTTTTGGTCAAAAGATATTTAGCCGCCTGCACACCTTCTGTTTTATCAGTTTTATACTAATTTATGCAATGCTTTTGATACGAAATAAATAAATAAATATTTTTTCCCAGAAACGTAAATGTTGTTACACAAGTTGTAAAGACAGTAATTTATCCATATATGAATGGGATTGTAAGAACTTGCAGAAATTGACCAATTAGAACCAGGTTTCCCCATCCTCTCCACTAGAAACAATGATCAAAAGGGTCAAAATAGAAGTCATTATACTTTATCTCAATGTTTTACTTAATCTTCAAAACTCACAAGCATTTTTACATTGTCCTTTTGCTTTGAAAATTATATAAATTATTCCCATTCTTTGAAAAAAGTTGGCAATTAACTTCTTCTTTATCAGACAAGGCAATTGGTCCACTTCTGCCAGTTCTTACTATCCCATGTTTTTTAGGGTTAGTTCTTTAGTTTTCCATTTTTGGCAGAAAGTAGTCTTGTTGCAATAATCATAAAATGTAATTGCTCACTGCTGGGGGAACTAAATCACCTTGAGTTATTTGATAAGAGCTCGTCCCTTGTTTGGGTATTAGCCAGCACATCAACGACTTAAATCTAGAAATAGTTTTCTAAGATCTACAGAGACACTTGCTGGAACACCTCAGCAAGCAAGAGTCCAAAAGTGGCAGGCTCAAACCCAGAACCTCAATCCATGGCTGATACCAAATGAGATACTCCCCCCTGGGCACACAGAAGACTGGGCAACTTGGAAGGCGCTGAACAGACTGCGCTCTGGCACCACGAGATGCAGACCCAACCTTAAGAAATGGGGCCACAAAGTGGAATCCACGACATGCGGGTGTGGAGAGGAGCAAACCACTGACCACCTGCTGCAATGCAACCTGAGCCCTGCCACATGCACAATGGAGGACCTTCTTGCGGAAACACTAGAGGCACTCCAAGTGGCCAGATACTGGTCAAAGGACATTTAACCAACTACCAAACTTGCAAATTTTGTGTTTTGTCTGTTTATTTGTTTTGTTCTGTTAGAAATGTAATACAATTGACTGGTTGCCCTGACATGACAAATAAATAAATTTGATAATGTGGTGGTTGCAGGACCTGAATAGAAAAGAATACTCTCGCTATTCACATAGGTATGGTACCTCATCAAGTGTTGGTTATAATTATGCAACAAAGGAGTTTGTAATGAAAACAGCAAAAGTGGAATTACTACCTAGGGTGTTCTCAGATCACAATCCAGTTATGCTAAAGATAAAATGGGGAGAGTGGGAGAGAAAACTCTTAGGCAGCTGTTCCCAAAGTGTTCTCCATAGAGCCCTTGTATTGTTCTTTCTTTCCTTTTTGTTGGGGGGGGGGGTTGTTTTTTGTTTTTGTTTTTGTATTTGTTTTGCACTACAAATGTGGAGTGTGCATTGGAAGCAATATTCCTGACAGACACCACACATGCCAACCAGAAATGGGCCATACTCTTCAGACAAAGGATTGAGCTGGATCCCAACAGGAGGCCATCCGTTCACGGCCCTGAGGTATCTTCCCGAATATCTTGGACAGTTGCAGGACAAAGGTCCAGACTGAAACTGTGATTGCAATCCCATCTGCAAATCTACATCTCTGGACTCTCCCTTTGTCTCTAGACTTGGAAACCCATCTGGGACAACAAGCCCATTGTGTCATCTGGAATGACCACGCATCTACATAATCCTGTCAAATTGGCTTTGCACTTTTCCTTTGCTCACTACATTCCTGGACTACACACCAAGGGCTGGCATGGCCCCCGGAGCTCCCTCTCTCCCTCGGATTGCCACCACTAGCTTATTGGAGGCTTCCAGGCTTCCCTTCCCAGCAGTGAGGAGATCCCTGGCTACGTCACCAGTGCCTCTTCCAATCAGGGTGAAATGCAGCAGCTTGGACCCACCTCCCAGCCAATCAGAGGCCAGGAAAAACGCCAGCCGATCAGGGAAGAGGAAGGGAAATTTTGAAACATGTCAATGTTAGTAAATGGGAACTTGTGTGTATAAAGATCTCTGCTTGTGAATGTACTTTTACACCTGTACCCTTTGAGCTCCTGTGCTGTAAAAGTGTCTCCTTTACGCAAATTGAATAAAGCCTCTCTCATTTGCCTTCTTCCTGGTGGAGTCTTTGGTTCCTGATTTGCTATTCACAATAGCTAGCTTGCCAGGCATCCCTCTGGGCTTAGGAGAACTGCAGATTCTGGCATCACCAAGATCAACAGACAGTGTAGAGTTCCTCAATGCAACCTTACAGAGTTGTTGTAAAAATTGAAGCAACTACTATTACTATTACTACTACTACTACTACTACTACTATGTAATTCAAACCTTACCACAACTGTTTAGAAGAACTGCAAATTCCGGCATTACCAGGATCAACAGTGTAGAGTTCCTCAATGCAACTTTACAGAGTTGTTGTAAAAATTGAAGCAATTACAACTTCTTCTTCTACTACTACTACTACTACTACTACTACTACTACTACTATGTAATTCAAGCCTTACCACAACTGTTTAGGAGAACTGCAAATTCCGGCATTACTAGGATCAACAGACAGTGTAGAGTTCCTCAATGCAACCTTACAGAGTTGTTGTAAAAATTGAAGCAATTACGACTTCTTCTTCTTCTTCTTCTTCTACTACTACTACTACTACTACTATGTAATTCAAGCCTTACCACAACTGTTTAGGAGAACTGCAAATTCCGGCATTACCAGGATCAACAGACAGTGTAGAGTTCCTCAATGCAACCTTACAGAGTTGTTGTAAAAATTGAAGCAACTATGACTTCTTCTTCTTCTTCTTCTTCTTCTACTACTACTACTACTACTATATAATTCAAGCCTTACTACAACTGTTTAGGAGAACTGCAAATTCTGGCATTACTAGGATCAACAGATAGTGTAGAGTTCCTCAGTGCAACACAGAGTTTTTGAAATAATTGAAGCAAGATATTACCACTACTACTACTACTACTACTATGTAATTCAAGCCTTACCACAACTGTTTCGATGCTCACATCCACCAGGGAAATGTCTAGGATTGGAGGGAGAGGTAGTCCCAGAGAAAGAGGACCTAGAAGAAAGAAATGGTATTACTTCAGTTCTTGTGAGAGATGCATTGTCCTAGTCAAACGCCCAGAGCCTGCTTGCATGTTCATCTCATGGAACAGCAATAGAGGAGTGTGGCTGTGTCCACATAAACCAGGAAAAATCCAGTTTAAAGGGCTCCAGAGATGCTGTGATGCAACTCCAAGAGTCCCTGACCATTCACAAGGAAGGCGATCCAAGGGAGCATTGCCACTAGCAATCTCCAGAAAGCCTCCGCAACAGTGATGGATCCATTTGATGTGTGAACAGTGGATCCATCCAGATCCAATTGTCCAGTCATCCAAAATAGCAGGATCACTGCAGAGCTTCTGGAATGCTATGGAGGGAATCCCATGTTCTACTGTTGCTGAGTAAGGTCTGGATGCAGCAATTCTGCAAATCCAGCCATGCATCATGTGGACTCCATACAACATTCCATCTTATTGTGGCTGTGGACACGCAGGCTGCATCCCACATTTGTTGTTTTTTCATCACTCCTTTCTATACCAACCTACATTGTTGTTTTGATGTTAGATTGCATTACTGTAAGAAAAATATATATCAAAACTCATAACGAAGAAGGGTGCTTCTCGGCTGTAGAAAGAATGCCGTTCCACACCACTTGAACTGCCACGGCTCTATGTTGCAAAATCCTGGGAGTTGTAATTTGGTGAGGCAGAGAAGGCTCAAGACCCTGGAAACTACAGCTCCCTGGAATCTATAGCATTGAGCCATGGCAGTCAAAGTGGCATCAACCTGCATTCATTCTAAAGTGCAGATGCACACTTAGCTGACACATAAAAGTTGGAATGCCAGCCAAAATAATTCCAGATGCTTTGGTGGGAACAAAGACTTCTTCCTAGCACCCGACCACCCACCAAGCAGGTGCCAATGTTGAGTTTCTTAGGGTGAAAACAACATCAAAACCATTCCTTCCCAAAAATCTGCCTCCCTTCTAATGAAGGCACAGTAGGCAACACCAACAGAATGATACCAATAGAAGCTTGAAAGAAACAGAGCTCTCCAGCCATTGGCATTCTGGAGTCTTGGCTTTAATTCACTCAGATACACCCATCCACAGATTCAACCATTCATGACTTGAAAATATTTTTGGATTATATATCTTCCGCTTTTATTTTTTATTTTTATATGCTTTTTATGTGTTTTTTTTCTGGACTCTTGTGTGGTGCAGTGGTCTCATGGGTGTTTCTATTGGCGAGTACCAGAGTATCTCAGAAGCTCAGCATAATGGACTCTGGAGTCTCCGGTAAAAGAGGTTTTCAGCTTTACTTAAGCAGCTCAAAATAGACAACATACACCATCAGAGGACAGACGTGAAGAACACAAACCAAAATAGATAGGAACTAATACAAACTGCAGCTGGAAGGAAATTTATCTCTGGCTCTCCCTAATCTTTCACAGAGCAAGAACTCAGGGTCACATTCACACAGCTTGTTACTTTGCTGTTTAACCCTTCTGTGTCAAACTACATCCTGGCAATACAATTCTATTACAATCACAATCCTATCACATAAAATTACATTAAACACACAGACCTGGAGTGCAGTTGCTCAGCCAACAACAGTTGCTCAGCCATTTTTTTTCTAAGGGTCTTACCATTGAAAGCAGGCAAAAGGATTTCATTCACTAATCTATTGATGGGGCCTGAATAACCTGTAGTCTGTGAAGGAAGAAAGAAGCGACATGTGAAGGCATGGAGTAACTGTGAACACTGCATATTAAAACATCAAAACTCTGGCTAAACATGCCCAGCTCCTTAAGCCGCTCCTCATAGGGTTTGTTCTCCAGACCCTTGATCATTTGAGTCGCCCTCTTCCTCTGGACACATTCCAGCTTGTCAATATCTCTCTTGAATTGTGGTGCCCAGAACTGGACACAATATTCCAGGTGTGGTCTAACCAAGGATCTAGGCACACTTTTTAAAAACATTTCTCCGTGTGATTACAATTGTTTTAATTTTTTATTGTGCATTTTTGGAAAATGGTTTTGGAAGCCCAATTTGGGCTTAAAGGGCAGCTTAAGGAGCTGGGCATGTTGAGCCTGCAGAAGAGAAGGCGGAGAGGAGACATGATAGCCATGTATAAATAAATATGTGAGAGGAAGCCACAGGGAGGAGGGAGAAGATCAGGGGTCTGGAGAACAAGCCCTATGAGGAGCGGCTTAAGGAGCTGGGCATGTTTAGCCTGAAGAAGAGAAGGCTGAGAGGAGATATGATGAGAGCCATGTATAAATATGTGAGAGGAAGCCACAGGGAGAAGCGAGCAAGCTTGTTTACTGCTTCTCTGGAGACTAGGACGCGGAACAATGGCTTCAAACTACAAGAGAGGAGATTCCATCTGAACATGAGGGAGAACTTCCTGACTGTGAGAGCTGTTCAGCAGTGGAACTCTCTGCCCTGTAGTGTGGTGGAGGCTCCTTCTATGGAGGCTTTGAAACAGAGGCTGGATGGCCATCTGTCAGGGGTGCTTTGAATGCAATTTTCCTGCTTCTTGGCAGAATGGGGTTGGGCTGGGTGGCCCACCAGGTCTCTTCCAACTCTATGATCCTATGATACTATGAAAAACAGCACAATCTTTAAAAGAATATACTGCTTGAATAGGAGTTGGAAAGACTCATTTTTGGTTCTTCAGAGCTTCCAACAGAGAACTGTAATGATTCCTACCTTTGCTAGACCGCAGCCTGGAAGTCTGTGAGCTGGCCTCCATGTTGGGAAGGCAGCTCAGGATGGCGGACATGATTGTATAGGCAGAGGGGCAAGGGGAGGAGTCAGCTAACTCCTGATTGGTTCAGCRCCAAGGGGAGGAGTTGAAGGAGAGTGTAAAGAGGCTGTGAGTTCTGACAGAAAGGGAAAGAGAAGGATTTGATCTAAGAGGGAAAAGATTAGGATTTCAGACAGGGAGAAGAYAGTTTCTTAGTGAGCTAGGAGTTAGCCTGTTAGGGAATAGTTAAGAGCAAGTGCTTCTGTATAGTTTGACTAGGGCAGTCAAAGTGAAGGCTTGTTTACTTGTATTAGGACAGAATACAAGTGGGTTTATTTCCCTAAAGGTCAGAGTAGTCCAGGGGAAACCTAGATACTCTGGAAGGCAGCCAGGGGCGGCTGGTCAAAGAATCTCACTGTTACATATTACAGGGTAGAGTGAGGAAAGTAGCTCATGTTAAGGAAAAGATACTCCTTCTAACGAAACCATTTGTTTATTAAGTCTGTGCTTCAGAAACAAATTATGCTTATGTACCTCTCAGTAGTCAGTTGTTTGCTTCAAATACTTCAATAAACCTGTTCTCTAGTTTACTGTTAATCTGCCTCAGCCTTGTTTCATCATATAAGGTTAGATCCAGTAATCCTCCACATCTCTACAGTTCAGTCACCAGAAAGGGAGCCAAAAGGAAGAGCCGGTGTATGAGGACATTTTACCTCAAGTACAACAACAAGACAATTCCTCAAACTTTAATTTTGGGGTGGTGGCAGCAATCCTACCATGACACACTCACGTTCCACAACACACATTGAAGTGCTTTGCGACAGGGTTGTGTTAGCGTTCTCGAAGAACCTAAGGGAGTAAAACTCTGTACTCTGATCTTTCAACATGGTGTTCAGCTGAGAGTTATATAGCAGCTGAGGGAACACGTGTGGGTGTGTGTGTGAGGGGATCTGTTAGAGACATATTAGTATAAGATCTTCAGCGCTCTGTTACAGTGGTGACCAGCGAAAAGATTTACATTTTGAGTCAATATCATAAGGATCCCCCGATTTAAATGTAAGGTTCTTTTACATTTAGGATTCCTTTTACATTGGTGGCAGCGGTGGGATAGAAAAGAAAGGTCTCCCCTGCCATCACCTGTAATTCCCTCGTATATTCTTTTACAAGAACCATCTTCCCAGCTCTTTTTAAATATGCTGGGAATGGACTGAAGGATCATCTTCATCTCACCGGGACTGTGGCACAGCTGTCTGAGTGTCAGCTGCATTAAGATCACTTCTGACCAAAAGGTCATGAGTTCGAAGCCAGCCCGGGTCAGAGTGAGCTTCCAACCAATTGTGTAGCTTGTTGTCGACCTTTGCAACCTGAAAGACAGTTGCATCTTTCAAGTAGGAAAATTAGGTACCACCTATGTGTGGGGAGGCTAATTTAACTAATTTACGAGGCCATAAAAAAGACTCTAGCAAAGCATGCAGGGAATGCGGAAGTACTTCATCACTGTCGCAGATGGACGATGAAAGTGACAGCTCCCCTGGCGGCCAGAAAAAGTTAAATAGCCTCTGTGTTTCTGTCTATATATGTTGTGTGTCTTTGGCATTGAATGTTTGCCATGTATATGTACATTGTAATCCGCCCTGAGTCCCCTGCGGGGTGAGGAGAAGGGAGGAGTATAAATACTGTAAATAAATAAATAAATCTCCCATCGAGCTGTAACATTTCCCTATTAAAACCAGTGAGCCCATCATTTCCCAAGAGGAAAGCTGAAAGCAATGCAATTATGCTTCAGAAAATGTCAACTTACGTCTATTATGTTAACGCGCGAAGATGCCACCGTGATAACGTTCCTGTGGGATAAGAATATGTAATTTCCTAAGAATTTAAGAGTCAAAAAGGACATTTTTCTAGTGGGTGACATAGTAGAGTAGCTGGTTTGATGTATCTGTGTATGCCTTTGCCTTCCGGTCGCCTGTCGACTTACGGTGACCCATGACTTTCTGAGGGATTTCGGAGAGCTTCAACTAGTCCAACGGTCAGCAGGCAGTTTGGTCACTGGAGCGGGGTTCAGGGAGCACACAACCCCTCGGTTATGCCAGCTCCACTGGCTGCCGGTCTACTTTCGAGCACAATTCAAAGTGCTGGGTTTAACCTTTAAAGCCCTAAACCAGTGGTTCTCAATCTGGGATCCCCAGATGTTTTTAGCCTCCAACTCCCAGAAATCCTAACATCCGGTAAATTGGCTAGGATTTCTGGGAGTTGTAGTTCAAAAACATCTGGGGACCCCAGGTTGAGAACCACTGCCCTAAACAGTTCTGGCCCAGTTTACCTGGACGCTTGCCATAGATGCAGATGAAACATCAGGAGAAAATGCTTCTAGAACATGGCCATAAAGCCTGAAAAACCTACAACAACCCAGTCTATGCTTTGGCCATTTCTTCTTCTTGATCTTTTTGCTGAACTTTTCCATCCATGCCTTCCATCAAGGCCCACCCTGAGACATTTTCAAAGGACAATCCAAATTGTAATGCAATCCAAAGGCTATGTCATCGGCGTAGCACTTTCTCCAAAAAGCCTCCAAGACCCAATTCACAGCAATAAGTTCGTTCGTTAGTTTCTAAAATCGCAATTAATTTGGATTAAATTACCTTTCGATCCAATTTCGAGCCATGCAGGAATAGTGGGAGGAGCAATTCCGAACTGAAACAACTTCCCCATTGTTTGGAAATATTTTCGGATGTGGCTTTGCAAAGTTGCCGATGCAAAGAGGGACGAGGTGGGCGTGGGTAAGGCCACGCCCCCAGTGGCCTTCAGGAAGAGCTGTTCTTACCCACGTCCACCTCGTCCCTCTGCAATCCATCGCCGTTCGTTGCCACCCAAGGAAGGGAAACTGCGAGGTTAGTTTTAAAATCGCAGGCGATTCAATTTTGAAATTATTTCCAAAATTTTCTTGAAAAAAAGATTGGAAATATCAGGAAATACGAATTGCTTGGTTCGTTAATGGAAGATGTCCCTCCCTCCCTCTCCCGAACCATTAAAATCTCGCAGTTTCCCTTCCTTGGATAGCAACGAATGGCGATGGATTGCAGAGGGAGGAGGTGGGCATGGCTAAGCACAGCTCTCCTTGGAGGTCACTGGGGGCAAGGCCTCCAAGGAGAGCTGTGCTTAGCCACACCCACCTTGTCCCTCTGCAATCCATCGCCATTCATTGCTATCCAAGGAAGGGAAACTACGAGGTTAGTTTTAAAATCTCGCAGTTTTTCTTCCTTCCCTGGTGGCAAGCGGCAATGCAGAGGGACGAGGTGGGCGTGGCTAAGCAATGGACTGGATGAGGGACAACAGATTGAAACTTAATCCTGACAAGACAGAGGTACTCCTGGTCAGTCGTAAGGCTGAACAGGGTATAGGGTTACAGCCTGTGCTGGACGAGGTTACACTCCCCCTGAAGGCGCAGGCTCGCAGCCTGGGAGTGATCCTGGACTCATCGCTGAGCCTGGAACCCCAGGCCTCAGCGGTGGTCAGGGGAGCTTTTGCACAATTAAAACTCGTGCGCCAGCTGCGCGCGTACCTTGGGAAGTCTGACTTGGCCACGGTGGTCTACGCTTTGGTTACATCCCGTTTAGATTACTGCAACGCTCTCTACGTGGGGTTGCCTCTGAAGACTGCCCGGAAGCTTCAGTTAGTCCAACGTGCGGCAGCCAGACTACTAACGGGAGCCGGGTACAGGGAGCATACTACTCCTCTGTTGCACCAGCTCCACTGGCTGCCAGTCAGCTTCTGAGCACAATTCAAAGTGCTGGTCTTAACCTATAAAACCCTAAACGACTCCGGCCCAATTTACCTGTCCGATCGTATCCTCCCCTATGAGCCCTCAAGATTGCTAAGATCGTCTGGAGGAGCCCTGCTCTCGATCCCACCGGCTGGTGGGGACGAGCGACAGGACCTTCTCAGTGGTGGCCCCTCGACTCTGGAACTCCCTTCCACTGGAGATCAGAACTGCCCCTTTGATCTTAATGTTCAAACCTGGCTTTGGGGATTGGCATTCGACAAATGAGCCATTTTCCTGTGATGTGGATGGATGACGACGAATAATGACTTTGATGACGACTGACCACTGTAATCATATGATTGTATTTTTGCCATTTTAATTGTTTCAATGTTTTAATGTTTTAGTGTGATTTAGAAATATGATGTTTTACTGACGGTCTGTAATACTGATGTTGGAAACCGGCCCGAGTCCCTCGAATGGAGGTGAGAAGACCGGTATACAAAACTACCAAATAAATAAATAAATAAAATAAGCACAGCTCTTCCTTAAGGCCACTGGGGGCGTGGCCTTCAAGAAGAGCTGTGCTTAGCCACGCCCACCCCGTCCCTCTGCATCACAGCTCGCCGCAAGGGAAGGAAGGGAAACTGCGCGATTTTAATGGTTCTGGAGGGAGGGAGGGAGGGAGGGAGGGAGGGAGGGAGGGAGGGAGGGGCACCTTCCATTAATGAACCAAGCAATTCATATTTCTTGATACTTCCGATCTTTTTTTCAAGAAAATCTTGGAAATCATTTCAAAATCAAATCACCAGCGCCCCCTACATCCGAAACGAGTTTTGAGCCTTTTTGTTTTTTGATCACCCAAGCCTACAATATATAATGGCAAACCTTGAAAATTCTCCAAATGACACAGTGACTCTAGTCAAATGGGGATATAAGCACACACAAAAATACTTACTCGGAGAGCGAGAGGCTTAGGGTCACTTTCTCATTGACCAGAGCAATGATGGCTTTCAAGGAAAGATTCTGCAAATATACATTTGGGAAAATATAAAATGGTCACTGGAGAGAGAAAGGTGGTTAGATCCACACTTCCCATTATGGCAGAATCCATCCCGGGTTCAAGGTTTCTGACCCCACGAAGAAGAAGAGCCTTTATCTATGAAGGTACTACTACTCACACATCTCAGGATAACTAAAGAAGCTTTAGATCCATCTGGCTCCTTGCCTAAAATCTCGACGTGAGCAACGAGAGTCACAGTGGCACCATCAGTGCTGAAAGCAATGGCAGGGTTTTCTTCGATGGTAATTCTGTGGATGAGATCACTCTGCAGAAAGAGAAGGGGGGGGGGGATAAAGATGATGAATGGTAAAAATTTCACTGGCATGGAAACACAAATGTTCAAATACAGGTTTTCTCCCCTTTCCAGGAATGAGGTCCCTGAAGGGTTATCACACGTACCATGGCAAGATGTGGAAGAATCTAAAAGGAGAAAGTGAAGGAAATTTTGGCATGGCATCTCAAGAAAGACATCAGGATTGTAAGATGTGCTGAAAGTCGGTAGCTTACGCCGACCTGGGGCTTCGAATTTGCAACCTTTCAGTTGATAGATCTTATAATTTCTGGTGACTTACCAGCTGTGCTAAACCTCCGGCTTATTTTTGCTCTTTGTAACATCTGTGTGCCTTTAACCACTTCATCCCACTGAACATACTACGGGTTGTCTGCGCCTTACACCATTGGAGAAATTACACTGTCTAGCTGGTATCACACCACCTGACATCCGCCAGGAAGTAGCAGCCAATAGTGAAAGAACCAAGGCAGAGACATCTCCAGCTCATGCCTTGTTTGGGTATCAGCCAGCACGCCAACGACTTAAATCAAGAAATAGTTTTCTAAGAGCTACAGAGACACTCGCTGGAACACCTCAGCAAGCGAGAGTCCAAAAGTGGCAGGCTCAAACCCAGAACCTCAACCAGTGGCTGATACCAAATGAGAGACTCCCCCCTGGGCACACAGAAGACTGGGCGACTTGGAAGGCGCTGAACAGACTGCGCTCTGGCACCACGAGATGCAGAGCCAACCTTCAGAAAGTGGAATCCTCGACATGCGAGTGTAGAGAAGAGCAAACCACTGACCACCTGCTGCAATGCAACCTGAGCCCTGCTACATGCACAATGGAGGACCTTCTTGCAGCAACACCAGAGGCACTCTGAGTGGCCAGCTACTGGTCAAAGGACATCTAATCAACTACCAAGCTTGTAAATTCTGTGTTTTGTCTGTTTGTCTGTTTTTGTTAAAAATGTAATACAAATGTCTGGTTGCTGCTGACACGATAAATAAATAAATCCCACTGAACATGTCAAGTGTTTGAAAGCATAGGTTTACCATACAGCTGAGGCATACTCCATTTTGAAATTAAATGGATGATTTTCCTACCTCCATCACACACTAGTAAACTATCCGTTTTATTCAGGAATTCTCAGTTGATTTGCCATCACATTGTAGAGAGTTGTTCCCGCCCGCTATCCATGCCCCATTTCCTTTATGAAAAGAAGCACCTCTTCTCCTGGACTATGATTTTTGTTCCTGGGTTATCAATGTCATTTCCTAATTGGTTCTATCATGAACACATGGGGAAAATGTTTAAGCCACTGAGCTTATAAGGTGACCCCCAACTTTTCTAGTTAAAATATAGAGTTTTGGATATACTCACCATATAAGACTACCCCTCTTCCAACGCACAACAAATAAAAATTTAAAAAGCATCAGATTTGATTTCAATATGGTAATTTTCCAGTTATCGCACCTCCTTCTCTGACTCTCAGATCTTGCACATGCACGCCTGCACCACTTCAGTGTAGTCCTCAGAAGCGAGATCTGAGAGGCAGAGAAGGAGGTACGGTAATAAGATCCAAGGGCGGGCCAGGCTGTTGGGACTCAGCCTGTGTGTGACCCTGTGTGTGAACCTCATATTCATCATCATCATATTTAATTATTTATTAATCGCCCTCCATCCGAGATGCTCTAGGCAATTTACAAGCTAAATTGTAAAAAATAAAAATACATACATACAAAAAATTAATAATTAACATAGATCAATCCAAATTAATAATTAACATAGGTCATAGCCTGAAACTTTGATTGTTTTGCCTGATGTTGATAATATTGATATAAATGTTGACGGGCCTTGTGCTGGTACGGCTGTACCAGGAGCTCCAACTTTATTTTCTTTCTGATATCTGTTTGCAGTCATAGGGCAGGCCTCCTGTTCATCATAATTAAGTTTTGGTTCCGCCCCTTGTTCAGGGCTCTGGGAGGGAAAGGAGCCATTTTTTTGGGCAGTCTCTCATAAGGAAGCTAAACTATAGGACGTAGACCAGCTCATCCCGTAGAAAAGCTTCTTTTCTCAAGAACATCCGGGGAAACAGAAACAGAAATTCCAGGGAAAAGGTCCCAAGGCTCTGGCTGAGAGCTCACAGCCTCACAGCAATCAGAGGGAAAACAGGCCTGAAGTTCTCAAAAAATTCTCTGAGGGAGGACAGCACTACAGATCCACGGAACTCCATCTGAAATATCTACAAGCCTTGGCTGGTAGGTCTACTCAATACCCAGATGCATTTGGAATCGGTAGTAGGTCCCACACCGATGAGGCATAGATAGCAAACAACCTGGGAGAGGTTAAATAGGGTTTTTTTTCCTACAGAGAAAGTACAGTTAATCAAAGTCAGGTGCCAGTCCATTGAGGACTAGATTTGAAGCCTTGAAGTGTTGTTTGAACCATTGAAGATTTGTTGTTTGTTCCATAATAAAGACTTTGTTTTATCATTAAAGACTCTAAAGACCATCACTTCAGAAAAATCCCTGAGAACCTCTCTGAGGTGCCCTGGCTTCCCTCTGGGCTTAAAGTATACGTCCTATCGAAAAGACAGCTGTTACAGGCCCAGCGCACGACAGAACAGGTCTAGTTTGGATAGTGAGGCTGAAGTGATCAATGAGGACGAGGTTCAAGATGGAGACACTTTAGGCAGTGAAAATCCTACAGGTTTTGATTTAGAGGCTGAAAGGGAAAAGCCAAGTTCTCATGAGAAAGTTTCTGTCAGACCGAGAGAAGAAAATTCACTCCCTTTTCCTTCTGGCCTGAGTTTGCAAGAGAACACAACACCTGGTCGGGTCAATGATAATAGCCGTGGTTTAGAGATAAGCCAGAGCCGCAGGGAGACTCAATGTTTACGTAGGCCCAAGAGAATTTAACAACTGAAACCAAAGTTTAGAGTTAGCTGGAATCAGTTTCTGGGATTTAAGAGTGGCCGTGAGGGGAATTTCCTCAGACCAAGCATTGTTTAGTTTCAAGTACAAAGCTCCAAGGTTTTCCAGTTTCCAATGGTCTCTATTGAGAGTTTTCTGCTTTTGATTTTCTGCAAGCTTTATGGACATTGCTATTTGCAATTTCATTTTGACTTCTTTACCTTTGGACTTCTATCTATTTTATTTTCATCATTCAATAAAAAGGATTGTATTGTATTGTCGAAGGCTTTCATGGCTGGAATCACTAGGTTCTTGTGGGGTTTTTTGGGCTATAGGGCCATGTTCTAGAGGCATTGTTTGGGCAATGCTGCTGCTGCGTTTGGGGGTCCCTATGGAGACTTGTCCACAGCTGCATGGTATACGGTAGACTCCTGCAGAGGTGAGAGGATCCCTCTTGTCCTTTGCTGAACGGAGCATTTGTTGAAACGCAGCGTGGCCCAAACACGCATCAAGGAACATGAAAGGCACTGCAGACTCCTTCAACCAGAGAAGTCAGCCATAGCAGAGCACCTGATGAACCAGCCTGGACACAGCATATTATTTGAGAACACAGAAATGCTGGACCACACCAACAACCACCAGGTCAGACTACACAGAGAAGCCATTGAAATCCACAAGCATGTGAACAATCTCAGCAGAAAGGAGGAAACCATGAAGATGAACAAAATCTGGCTACCAGTATTAAAACTCTAAAATTACAACAGCAAAACAGCAGAGAGGAAACAACCAGGCACATTTTAACACCTCTCAACAAAAGATTTTCCCAGGCTCAGCCAGGCCTTCAAATGCTAATGAAGGTGGTCAGTTGAAACATTCACACCTAGCTCCAGCAGAGAAGAGCTCTTTGCCCCACCCCAGCCATTCCACAGATATATAAACCCATTGTCCTAATTCCAACAGACCTCACTACCTCTGAGGATGCGTGCCATAGATGCAGGCGAAACGTCAGGAGAAATGCCTCTAGAACATGGCCCTATAGCCCGAAAAAACCCACAAGAACCTAAGGATTGTATTTTTCCTAAACCAAGGTGTGGTGTATTAATGACAAGAGGGCCCTGTTTCCTGCGCTGGAGTGCAACACAGACAGGGGAAAGAGGCATGTTTTTCTGGGCACAGCGCCACTCTTTTCCTTTTTTCCATACCCTGGGTGTTCCGGACGCCTGCAGCTTGCTCCGCCCTTCACGTACACCTTCCCGGTAAGGCACCCACTCACCTCGTCAAGTCACTTCTTTCCAGTAATCATAGACTCATAGAATCATAGAGTTGGAAGAGACCATACAGTCCAACCCCATTCTGCCAAATCACCCCTGACAGATGGCCACCCAACCTCTGTTTAAAAGCTTCCAAATAAGGAGACTCCACCACACTCCGGGGCAGAGAGTTCCACTGCTGAACGGTTCTCACAGTCAGGAAGTTCTTCCTAATCCTAGTGAGTGGATTTTCTTCCACTGTTCTTGTAAACTCCGCCCTTGCTGCTTTCATATGGTTGCTGCAAATGGAGGGGATGTGGCCGCAGCCGTTTTTGAACTCCCCCCACCATATACGGTGACCGCAGATTCTCTGGTCCGGCACAGAAGTGTCAGCACCCGCCCTATAAGATGGCACTCAGTGAATAAGACGACCCCCAACTTTTAAGAAGTTTTTCCTGGTTTAAAAAGTAGTCTGATACGCCAGGAAATACAGTACTTTAATATTTTAACTTTAACAAAATAACCATTCCTGGAACTGAAAAAATGCTTTTAAAAAGAAATTAGGAAGCAGCAAACCTGCAGGATGGGGAGTTTACAAAGATATGTGTGCAACCACAGGAACACAGATTGCAAATCTGCACAATTACGTGAGTTGGGAGTGTTGGAATAACAAGAATGATCAACTGCTCACGTCACTATCAGTGATAGCGCAACCTCCGTGAAATAGCAATAAAGTCCAATAACACCAATTTTGCCATTTGGGGTTAGAGTTACTTATCAGAGAGAGAGAGAGAGAGAACTCACCACTGCTGGGTTATTGCTCACTTCCAGAGGTGCTTTGGGGGTAGCAACATGCAGTAAAATATTAATTACAGCCGGACTGATAGCCAGGCAGAAACTGTGCTTGTCCAGAGAAGGCACGGCAATAGGAACATGTGTGTCAGGGGTGGAGACACTTACTCCTGACTCTTCATATTGGAAAGCAAGCTGAAAAGAGAAGAGAAGAGGTGCTTGAGGGCCTCTTTAGTTTAGTGCTAGCAAACAGAAGACAAGGAAATAGAGTTCAGATAGAGCAGCGTTTCTCAACCTGGGGGTCAGGACCACTGAGGGAGTCGTGAGGGGATGTCAGAGAGGACACCAAAGACCATCAGAAAATACAGTATTATCTGTTGGTCATGGGGGTTCTGTATGGAAAGTTTGTCCCAATTCTGTCGTTGGTGGTGTTCAGAATGCTCTTTAATTATAGGTAAACTATAAATCTCAGCAACCACAACTCCCAAATATCACGGTCTATTTTCCCCAAATTCCACCAGTGCTCACATTTGGGCATATTGAGTATTCCTGTCATGTTTGGTCCAGACCCATCATTGTTGAGTCCATAGTGCTCTCTGGATGTAGGTGAACTATAACTCCAAAACTCAAGGTCAATGCCCATCAAACCCTTCCAGTATTTTCTATTGGCCATGGGAATTTTGTGTGTCAAGTTTGTTTCAATTCCATCCTTGGTGGAGATTAGAATGCTCTTTGATTGTAGGTTGAACTACAACTCCCAAATGACATTATGAACTCCTACCCCCAACCCCACCAGCATTCAAATTTGGGCATATCGGGTATTGGTGCCAAACTTGCTCCAGTGAATGAAAATGCATCCTGGATATCAGGTGTTCCCATTACGATTCGTAACAGAAGCAAAATGACACTTATGAAGTAGCAACAAAAACAATGTTATGGTTGGGGGTCACCACAACATAAGGAACTGTATTAAGGGGTCGTGGCATTCGGAAGGTTGAGAAACACTGAGATAGAGCTATAGGTGGGCATTTCTTTCTGTTGATGATATTCACACTTACATCTATTCCAACATAAGCAGGTGTTATTGTAGGTAAGACTGCTAACTGACACTTCAGATTCCCAGAGGCGCCCAGGGGAAGAACCACTGTGTGGAAACAGAACAAATATCCATGCCCGTCAACACTTGTCTGCGTACATTCCTGAAATAGTTTTTAAATTCCATCTTAATTTCTTTGGCCTTTTTGTGTAAACTCTTGACCATGATGTTCCCTATGCATGGAACTTCTTTTGTAGGACCACTTATTTTCTGTTTGTTAAGACTGTCCTGATCATGGGTGCATGGTTAGGTTACATGAAATCCAATAGGCGACATAATTTTTTCCAAAAACAAATAATCTTCAAACCAATTAAGAAGAATTAGGGTTCATCTACAGCAGTGTTTCTCAACCTGGGGGTCGGGATCCCTGAGGGGGTCGTGACGGGGTGTCAGAGGGGTCACCAAATCTTTTCTGATGGTCATGGGGATTCCATGTGGGAGGTTTGAGCCAATTCTATCGTTGGTTCAGAATGTTCTTTGATTGTAATGAACTATAAATCTCAGCAACTACAACTCCCAAATGTCAAGATCTATTTTCCCCAGACTCCACCAGTGTTCACATTTGGGCATATTGAATATTCGTGCCAAGTTTGGTCCAGATCCACCATTGCATGAGTCCACAGTGCTAATCTGGATATAGGTGAACTACAACTCCCAAACTCAAGGTCAATGCCCATCAAACCCTTCCAGTGCTTTCCATTGGTCATGGGAGCCAAGTTTGGTTCAAATCCATCGCTGGTGGAGTTCAGAATGTTCTTTGATTATAAGTGTACTATAAATCCCAGCAACTACAACTCCCAAATGACAAAATCAATCCTCCCCCAACCCTACTAGCATTTACATTTGGGTGTATTGGGTATTTGTGCCCAGTTTGGTCCAGTGAATGAAAATGTATCCTGCATATCAGTTATTTACATTATGATTTATAACAGTAGTAAAATGACTGTTATGAAGTAGCAACAAAACAATATTATGGTTGGGGGTCACCACAACATGAGGGGCTATATTAAGGGGTCGCGGCATTAGGAAGGTTGAGAACCACTATCCTACAGTTTCAAATTACTACGTCCAAAATTACTGCGCAATGAGTGTTTAGAATGCAGTGGAAACCAATGCCAGATGGAAAGGTGATTAGGTTTTTCTTGTAGGGCAGTGGTTCTCAACCTTCCTAATGCCACGACCCCTTAATACGCTTCCTCATGTTATAGTGACCCCGAACCATAAAATTCGTTTCGTTGCTACTTCACAAATCATTTTGCTGCTGTTATGAATAGTAACAGATTGGGGGAGGGTATTGATGTTGTACTGTGGGAGTTGTAGTTGCTGGGATTTATAGTTCACCTACAATCAAAGAGCATTCTGAACTCCACCAATGATGGAACTGAATCAAACTTGGCACACAGAATTCCCATGACCAACAGAAAATACTGGAAGGGTTTGGTGGGCACTGACCTTGAGTTCTGGGAGTTGTAGTTTACCAGAGAGAACTGTAGACTCAAACAATTATGGATCTGGACCAAACTTGGCACAAATTCTCAGTATGCCCAAATGTAAACACCAGAAGAGTTTGGGGGAAATAGACCTTGACATTTGGGAGTTGTAGTTACTGGGATTTATAGTTCACCTACAATCAAAGAGCATTCGAACCCTACCAAGGATTGAATTGGGCAAACTCCCCACACAGAACCTCCATGACCAACAGAAAATACAGTGTTTTCTGGTGGTCTTTGGTGACCCCTCTGACACCCCCTTGTGACCCCTCCAGGGGTACTGACTAGGCTTGGGTAACCACGGAAAAATTGGTTCTAAACTCGTTTTGTTTTTAGGGGGCCCTTGCGTTTCGTTTTTTTTAATAATTCCGAAATTTTCCTTTAAAAAGTTTCGAAATTTACGAAATTTCGTAAAATTACGAATCGATTCGTTAATGGCGGATGAGATTGCGCAATATGCTAAAAAAAACCTCCAAATGGAACAGGAGGAACTTCTGAAGCTTCCCTCTCCCTCTGTTGTTGACTGTTGGTGTGAGAAAACAAACAACAACTACAAAACTTGCACCAGACATGCGAAAATAATTACGAAATAATTTCGAAATAATTACGAAATAATTACGAAATAATTATGAAATAAATTGAAAAAATTGTTTCGAATCTTAATTACTCCTCACACTATTCCTGCATGGCTCAATATTGGATCGTAAGCTAATTTAAATACGAATTAATAACGAATTATGAAATTAACGAACGAAACCGCCCAAGCCTAGTACTGACCCCCAGGTTGAGAAACACTGCCTTAGAGACTCGGGGACCACATTGTCTGTTTTTGAGTACAGGAGCCATTCTGGAGGAAGCGCAACCTCGTGCTTTCCATACTCATCCTTCAAGCAAAGAGGAGAGAAGCCTAGTGCTATGTGTGAAGGGGACAGAGAAAGCTTATTGGAACAGAGAAAGAAACTAAGGAGACTGACCAAGGGAAAAGGTGTGAGAGAAAAGCAGAGTTCTTGATACACATCTTAGTTCTGCTTCTTTGTAGGAACGCTTCACGTCCACCCATTCCCACCTTATTATTATTATTATTATTATTATTATTATTATTATTATTATTAAACTTTATTTGTACCCCGCTAGCATCTCCCGCAGGACTCGATGCGGCTTACAAAGGCCAAGGCCTCAACACAACAACAGCAAAACAATAACAATACAATTTAAAGCAAATTAAAACATAAGCAATAACAAAACAATACATCAATTACGCAATAAAAAACAAGGCCGGGCCAGTGATGGGTACAGGTTAAAAAAGTGCTGGGTGTGGCAGGTGGTATTTTGGATTTCTGGGCAAGTGCAATGTGCAGAGAGTCTTAAACTCAAATAAAGTGCTTCTGGGACGTAGTGCTGGAGGTTATCCTATTCCGGAAAGGCACATCGGAATAGCCAGCTCTTCAGATTCTTCCTGAAGACTGCCAACGTGGGTGTTAGTCTAATGTCTTTGGGGAGCAACCACAGAGAAGGCCCTGTCCCTCGTCCCCACCAAATGCGCCTGTGACACAGGTGGGATCGTAAGCAGGGCCTCTCCGGATGAACGAAGGGATCATGTGGGTTCATACACGGGGATGCGGTCACGCAGGTAGGCAGGTCCCAAACCGTTTAGGGCTTTGTAGGTAAGCACCTGCACCTTGAATTGGGTTCGGTAGGTAAACGGCAGCCAATGGAGCTCCTTAAACAGGAGGGTTGACCTCTCTCTGTAAGGAGCGCCAGTTAACATCCTGGCCGCTGCCCGTTGAACAAGTTGGAATTTCCGAGCCGTTTTCAAGGGCAGCCCCACGTAGAGCGCATTACAGTAATCCAATCTAGAGGTGACCAAGGCATGAACCACCCCGGCCAAATCAACCTTTGCGAGGTACGGTCGCAAATGAGCTTGATCCCTCCCTACAATATTCCAAACCAACCTTCATCTCCAGAAGTTACTCCTCTTGAAATTTCCCAATGCTCATGGGAATACTGCCCACTACAGCAGGATTTTACATGTTAGTGAAAGTCAGCAGAGATGTTAATAAGTCTAGGGAGGGTTCAAGCTTCTCACCATTTACAGAGTCCAGCCATTTCAGCTTCACTTCATCACAGACGTGCTGTGCAATGGGACATAACTGCAGGATGAAGAAAGAGAATAAGAGCCAGTGGAAAGTCACATTTCCCCTTGCAGTTTGGCTAAGCGGCCTGTGACGGCGCGAGTGGCGCCACCTATGGATAGAACTGTTAGTTGTAAGACTTAAACTGTTGTATCATGCCTAATCCTGCCCCTTTTTACCCTGCTTATGTATAGTTGTATGGATTGGTTGCTTGTAGCTGTGAATCAGTACTGTCTGGCTCCACCTCTTCCTGCAAGAGGGGAGAACTTCCTTTTTCTCTTCATTCTGCCTTCAGAGTTCGTACCAGATGGATGTGAGTAAGAGACTTGACTCTAAAGGACCCTGCTTTAAGTTACCTCTTAGGTTTTTTACCCCTGGGACAATGCTTTATGTCCAGATCGTCCTGAGGAGACCCAGGCGCCTTCAAGCCGGTTCTTTTGGCACCAAAGGAAGATCCTGAAACTTCAAAACATAGGCCATCTGAACTGGGGTTGTGGTTTGCTCCGGCATTCACAGCCATTGAGGAAAGAGGAAACTTGGTGAGGCTTCTCAGCTTCAAACCCCTTGGACCCACGACTGACTGTAACATATATTTTCCTTCACCCCTCTGAAGTTTCCAGTTCATTGCTTTAAAGAAATAACTCTTTGTGATCAATAAAACTTATTTTGAGCTATTTACAGTGTTTTGGGTTTTTGGGAGTTCCAGTTTCCTATAGGAGGGCAAGAAGCAATCCCCTGGGGGAAAAGTGCCACGTCCACCCCTCCTTTATTAAGAATAATAGCCCCCATGCGCGACGGCACTCGGCCCTTGACCCATTATTAATGCATCTGTGTTGTCAAAGGCTTTTATGGCCAGAATCACACTCTCTTCCGGACTACAGCTCCCAGCATCCCCTAGACCAGGCCCTTTAGGAGAGGAGGTTGATCCAAATGCACTGCTTCCAAGATGGGAGCTTTCTTCACCTTAGATTTCTTTGAGAGCATCCCAGTCCCTCTGCGTATTTCCAATTTCCTATTCCTGGACTCCAACTCCCAGCAATCCTCCAGATAGATAGATTAGATAGAGGTAGGTAGGTAGGTAGGTAGGTAGGTAGATCAGGAGGACTGCTTGGAGTTGCAGTCCAAGAATCATAGAATCATAGAATCAAAGAGTTGGAAGAGACCTCATGGGCCATCCAGTCCAACCCCATTCTGCCAAGAAGCAGGAATATTGCATTCAAATCACCACTGACAGATGGCCATCCAGCCTCTGTCTAAAAGCCTCCAAAGAAGGAGCCTCCACCACACTCCGGGGCAGAGAGTTCCACTGCTGAACGGCTCTCACAGTCAGGAAGTTCTTCCTCATGTTCAGATGGAATCTCCTTTCTTGTAGTTTGGTAGAGAAGGAAGAAAGGGGAGAAAGAGGAAGGGAAAGAAAAGGTGGGTGAAATGGAAGGGAGGAAGAAGAGAAGAGAAGAGAAGAGAAGAGAAGAGAAGAGAAGAGAAGAGAAGAGAAGAGAAGAGAAGAGAAGAGAAGAGAAGGAAAGAGAGAGGGAAATACAGAGAGAAAGAAGGAAGAACAAGAGAGGGGGAAAGTTGGCCACAGCAACACATGGCGGTTACAGCTAGTCCCTTATAAATTTGGTGTCATCCGCAAAAGTGATCAGCATGCTCTCTCGTCCATGTTTTGGGTACTAATGCCTTCCCATCCCTTGCTGATAGACAGGCGCCTTACTTGTCGTTGTAAATCTGCCGTAAGAGACTGCTTGACTGTGGATATCTGTGATGATGAAAGCACACTGTAAAATAAAGCAATAAGCACGAGAACTGTAGCATTCACAGGGCAAGGGAAAACCTCTAGAGTGCAATCAAATAGAAATAACAAGGGTTCTTTGGAAGATGGCATGTTGACAGCTGAAATAACACATTTATCCCATAGGCCTTTTACTTTTCATTCAACCCTCGTAGTAACACTATTTATTAGAAAAAACCTAGCACAGTTGATGCAGGGTGAACTACAACTTCCACCCTGTTGAGTCAGTCCCCCAAACCCCTGCAATCTGTTCAGTTGCTAATCAATACCTTTGTATTGTCGAAGGCTTTCATGGCTGGAATCACTGGGTTGTTGTAAGTTTTTTCGGGCTATATGGCCATGGTCTAGAGGCATTCTCTCCTGACATTTCGCCTGCATCAGAGGCACTTTGGAATAGCCAAGTTTTCAGGCTCTTCAGGGTGGGCGCTTACCTAATATCTCTGGAGAGCAAATTCCAGAGCCGGGGGGCCACCACAGAGAAGGCCCTCTCTCTCGTCCCCACAAGTCGTGCTTGTGATGGGGGCGGGAGCAAGAGAAGAGCCTCTGTGGAAGATCAAAGAAGTCGTGTGGGTTTGTAGACAGAGATGCGGTCACGCAGGTAGGCGGGTCCCAACCTGTTCAGGGCTTTGTAGGTCAAAACCTGCACCTTGAATTGGGACTGGAAAATAAACGGCAGCAAGTGGAGCTCCTTAAACAGGAGGGTTGACCGCTCTCTGTAATTCGCACCAGTTAGTAATCTGGTTGCCGCCCGTTCGACCAGTTGGAATTTCCAGGCCATCTTCAAGGGCAGCCCCATGTAGAGCGCATTGCAATAGTCCAATCTAGAGGTAACTAAGGCGTGGACAATCGTGGCCAAATCCGACTTCACGAGGTATGGTTGCAGCTGGCGCACGAGTGTCAATTGTGCGAAGACCCTCCCAGCCACCGCCGACACCTGAGCTTCAAGCGTTAGCGCTGAATCTAGGAGGACACCCAAGCTACCTGTGTAAGTGGACACCTCCGCCACATACACATTTTTCACTTTTATTATGTGTATAAATAACCACCTAAACTGGGCTCTACAGACCAATGGAGACTCCACCTCAGACATCAGAAGAGCCGCAAGACCAAGAACAAGCCATGAGAGTCATTACAGAGATCCACCCAGAGGAAAAGTGTTCTTGCCAGACATCAAGGGAACCACTGACCACAGAGGGAATCTGATGAGGAAACACAACCTACAAACTATCTACAGACCCACCAAGAAAATCCAACAACTACTACGTTCAGCAAAGGACAAGAGGGATCCTCTCACTTCTGCAGGAGTCTACTATGTACCACGCAGCTGTGGACAAGTCTACAGAGGGACCACCAAACGCAGCAGCATTGCCCAAACACACATCAAGGAACATGAAAGGCACTGCAGACTACTTCAGCCAGAGACATCAGCCATAGCAGAGCACCTGAGGAACCAATAGTATATTATTTGAGAACACCGAAATGCTGGATCACTCTCACAACCACCATGTCACACTACACAGAGAAGCCACTGAAATACACAAGCATGTGGACAATTTCAACAAAAAGGAGGAAACCATGAAAATGAACAAAATCTGGCAGTGGCTACCAGTATTAAAAAACTCTAGAATTGCAACAGCACAACAACAGAGAGGAAACAAACAAGGACATCTAATCACCTCTCAACAAAAGTTTGCTCTAGGCACTGTCAGGCCATTATATGCTAATCAAGGTGGTCAGTTGAAACATTCACACCTAGCTCCAGCAGACAAGAGTCCTTTGTCCCACCCTGGTCATTCCAGAGATATATAAACCCTTTTTCCTAGTTCCAACAGACCTCACTACCTCTGAGGATACTTGCCATAGATGCAGGCGAAACGTCAGGAGAGAATGCCTCTAGAACATGGCCATACAGCCTGAAAAAACCTACAACAATTCAGTGATTCCAGCCATGAAAGCCTTTGAAAAAACAGAGTTAGATACTGTCCATTGAGAGTGCATCTGCACTGTAGAGTTATTACATTTTGAACCTTCGACAATACAATTCTGTGATAGCTTTCTCAGTACCGAATGAAGATAATGACTCGTCGTTCGCAGCACAAAGAATAGGAACACTTGCAGGAAAAAAACACATACTCACCCACCCAAGAGCTTGACATCAATGGCCCCAAGTGTGATCCCACAAGAATGAATTATAAAATCGAATTGTCCATCAGAAAAGTTGGTTACTCCTACTACAAATTTCACATGCACATCAAATGAAATTGTGACCGCATTGGAAAGTGGGAGGATTCTAAAACACACAAACACAAGAACACACTCCTTTACAGTGTGATACTTACAACACAGCATTAAGAAGCAGGCATTTTATCAATTCAACATCAAATGGGGGAAAATATCTCATTTAAGAATGCTAATAATACCTTTATTTTTGCACTCCGCCTCCATCTCCCCAGAGGGACTCAGGGCAGCTTACATGGGGATGAGCCCAATCAACATAGTTGAAATATAACACATTAAAATGCATCAGTGGCAGCATAAAACAGAATAAAACAACAACTTTATAACAAAGTGTAAGCACAAACATCAAACCGCAACCCATGAACCTGCAAAATAATCAGTTTCTGGGCATTGTGAGCATAGGGCTGCTGGATAAACTGCTTAAGTCAAATGGCAACAGTAAGGATAGAGGGAAATGTAAGATGGAGCATTATAACTTTGGGTACAGAACAGTAGTAAAGTCCAAGGACAAGATTGTGGGTCCTAGCTGGGGCCAACTTATCTGGGGAGTTGTCTTCTCACAAACACAATGGACCACAATGCCCAGTGTGGAACACATCTCACCACACTAAAACAGTGGATGTGGCTCTTAATGAGACATGCCGCATTATCATGGGGTGTCTGCGCTCTACACCACTGGAGAAATTACACTGCTTAGCCGGTATTGCACCACCTGACATCCGCCGGGAAGTGGCAGCCAATAGTGAAAGGACCGAGGCAGAGACATCTGCAGCTCATCCCTTGTTTGGGTATCAGCCAGCACGTCAATGACTTAAATCCAGACATAGTTTTCTAAGATCTACAGAGACACTCGCTGGAACACCTCAGCAAGCGAGAGTCCAAAAGTGGCAGGCTCAAACCCAGAACCTCAATCCATGGCTGATACCAAATGAGAGACTCCCTCCTGGGCACACAGAGGACTGGGCGACTTGGAAGGCGCTGAACAGACTACGCTCTGGCCCCACGAGATCCAGAGCCAACCTTCAGGAATGGGGCCACAAAGTGGAATCCACGACATGTGAGTGCAGAGAGGAGCAAACCACCGACCACCTGCTGCAATGCACCCTGAGCCCTGCCACATGCACAATGGAGGACCTTCTTGCAGCAACACCAGAGGCACTCCAAGTGGCCAGAGACTGATCAAAGGACATTTAATCAACTACCAAGGTTGCAAAATTTGTGTTTTGTCTGTTTGTTTGTTTTGTTCTGTTAGAAATGTAATACAATTGACTGGTTGCCCTGACACGACGAATAACTAAATCTCCCCTGAGGGACTCAGGGCAGCTTATATGGGGATGAGCCCGATCAACATAGTTGAAATATAACACACTAAAATACATCAATGGCAGCATAAAACAGAATAAAACAACAACGTTATAACAAAATATAAGCACAACCATCAAACCGCAACCAATGAACCTGCAAAATTATCAATTTCTGAGCATTGTGAGCATAGGGTTGATGGATAAACTGCCTAAGTCAAATTGCAACAGTAAGGATAGAGGGCAATGTAAGATGGAGCATTATAACTTCGGGTACAGAACAGTAGTAAAGTCCAAGGACAAGATTTTGGGTCCTGGCTGGGCCAAGTTATCTGGGGAATTGTCTTCTTACAAGCACAACGGACCATCTACGTTTTAGATCTTTGGAGAAGATGGACAGGGTGGGTACCAGCTAGGGCTAGGCGGTTTCTTTTCGTAATTTCGTAATTCGTTAAAAATTCATTATTTTTTTTATAACGAAGCGATATTGAACCATTCAGGAGCAACTAAAAAACAAAACGAATTTTTCCAATTCGTTTCGTAATTGTTTCGTAATTGATTCGTTATTGATTCGTTATTGATTCGTAAATGTTTCGTTATTATTTCCGCATGTCTGGTGCAAGTTTTAGGGTTGCTGTTTGTTTTCTCAGTGAAAAAAAATATAATTATCACACCAACAGTCAACAACAGAGGGAGAGGGAAGCTTCAGAAGTTTTTTTAGCGTATTGCGCGATCGCGGCCGCCATTAACAAATCGATTCGTAATCGATTCGTAATTGTTTCGAAATTGTTTCGTAATTTCCGAAGTTTGGTAAATATCGAACCTTTTTTTAAGGAAAATTTCGGAATTCTTTTAAATAACGAAACGCAAAAACCCCCTAAAAACAAATCGAGTTTAGAAACAAATTTTTCCGTGGTTGCCCAGCCCTAGTACCAGCCTAATCTCCCTGGGGAGGGACTTCCAGAGCCGAGGGGCCACCACCAAGAAGGTCCTCTCTCTCATTCCCACCAACTGTGCCTGTAACAGGAGATCTTAGAGATCATGCAGGTTTGCAAGGGAATATGTAGTCACAAAGATAAGCAGGTCACAAACCATTTAGGGTAGTGTTTCTCAACCTGGGGGTCAGAACCCCTGAGGGGGTCATGAGGGGGTGTCAGAGGGGTCACCTGGGTTAGGTGTCAGGATTATTGAAAGTATGCATGTATGTTTTTCAATGAGTTTCAATATGTTTAACAATGGTGTTCATATGTATTCAAAATGGATTCAGTTATGTTCAATTGTATGCTAGAATTGTTGTTGCTAGAGGCAGAGAGAGTAAAGACCTTGACAGAAGTTAGATAACTCAGTTTCCTGCCTGGGAAGAAAAAGGGAGGATCCAGCCAGAGAGAAACGAGATAAGCAGACGGTCTGAAAACTGTTGTGTGCTGTGCTTTGTAGTGTTCAAGATGTAGTCCGCTTGGAAGTAGACCTGTCTTAAGATGTGCTAAATAAACTTTGTTATTTTTGAAACTGAAAACTGCAGTGAGTCCTGTTTTGCGTCTGTGTGATCTGGTAACCTTAATTCCGCTGTGCATAGACCCAACGGTCTCACTCTGACATTAGGAACCTTCTCTTCCTTTTTGGTGTTGGTGAACTACAACTCCCAGAATTCATAAACAGCCCCCCCCCCCCAGCCATGTAGGTAGTGTGCCAAGTTTGGTGCAGATCTATTGTGGGCTCTTTGATTGTAGGTGTTGTGACTCAGCTGGACTCACAGAGTGATGGTGTCAATGATTCTGATGGGGATGATGAGATTCAGATTCAGAGTCAGAGTCAGATGCAAAGCAAGGATGTTCCTGTGTTAGACGAGGAAGACCAGGACCAGGGGGCAGAAGTTCAGTTGTTTCCCACAGCAAGGGTTGACGCTGGGGAAAGTGAAACTACTGAGAGTGAGAGCCAGGTGTCTGATGAAGGAAAGGAAGGAGGCAGGAAGGGAGGATAGTTCTCAGCCAGCTAACGAGGGATTTGACCTTGATGGGGCTGGTGGTTTAGATAGGGCTGATCGATTGGAATTGAAAGTGCAAAGGAGTGTCAGGATCACCAGGAGGCGAGAGAGAGAGAGGCCCAGGGCCATAGAAACGCCTTCATGTTGTCCAAAGAGTATTAAACAGGCTGTTTGAATGTGCCTCAGTGTTCCGTCTCCCAGGAGTTTGATTTGCATTGCCCCATAGTTGTAGGAAATAGCACTCTTTTTGCATGTCTTCCAGGGTTGTTACAGTCTCAGCAACACCCTGATAGTTAACCATTAACAGAGGCTTGAAATCAGCCTGCAAAGCCTTTGCTGCTGTTGGCTTGCAAAAGTATATTTTTGATCTTGAGACCGCCCCTTTTCCTGGGGATGAAATCTCCATTTTGAGAAGCTCTTCTGCCTTCTGCAGTATACCAAAAGACTCAGATGTGCTTGTGGTCAAGTCAGGCCAGCTCAGGCAAGCCATCGTAAGTATTAACTTCTTGCCTTTAAAACTAGTTCTGAGTTTGGATAGGGAAAGACCTGCTCTTTCTAAAATAGCTACTCAGCACTGGGGCAGAGAATATCCCAGGATTTCTCTGCCATTGGAAGAAGGTTTAACTACTTCGTCTCCAAGCTAGCTTTGAGTTTAGATAGGGAAAGACCTCTCTACCATGACAACCCACCCCAGTATTCTTGCTAAGAAAACTAAATGGATCTAAAGATCAACACACCCTAGGAACCTGGAATGTAAGATCTATGAGTCCTTGAAGCGACTGGCTTGACTCTGAAGCAGTGGGGGTGGTGAGCTCCGACATGGGGTGGTCCATGAAGTCACAAAGGGTTGTCCACATGCTTCTTGTGGATTTCAATGGCTTCTCTGTGTATTCTGACATGGTGGTTGTGAGAGTGGTCCAGCATTTCTGTGTTCTCAAATAAAATGCTGTGTCCAGGTTGGTTCCTCAGGTGCTCTGCTATGGCTGACTTCTCTGGCTGAAGGAGTCTGCAGTGCCTTTCATGTTCCTTGATGTGTGTGTTGGGCAATGCTGCTGCGTTTGGTGGTCCCTCTGTAGACTTGTCCACAGCTGAATGGTATACGGTAGACTCCTGCAGAGGTGAGAGGATCCCTCTTGTCCTTTGCTGAACGTAGCATCTGTTGGATTTTCTTGGTGGGTCTGTAGATAGTTGTATGTTGTGTTTCCTCATCAGCTTCCCTCTGCGGTCAGTGGTTCCCTTGATGTATGGCAAGAACACTTTTCCTCTGGGTGGATCTTCATCTTTATTTTCATGGCTTCTTCTCGGTTGTCTTGCAGCTCTTCTGATGTCTGAGGTGGAGTCTCCATTTGCCTGGAGAGCCCAGTTGAGGTGGTTCAGTTCATCTTGGAGAGGTGGGGTTCGCAGATTCTTTTTGGACAGTCTGCCAAGGCTTTGATGGTGCTTCTTTTTTGACTTGGGTGATGGTTGGAGTTTTTTTGTAGATATCTATCTGTGTGTGTGGGTTTTCTGTAAAGATAATTGATTTCTCTAGACCAGCGTTTCACAACCTGTTGGTGGGGACCCCCTGGTTGCCAAAGACCATCAGAAAACACAGTATTTTCTATTGGTCATGGGTGTTCTGTGTGGGAAGTTTGTCCCAATCCTATCCTTGGTGGGATTCAAAATACTCTTTCATTGTAGGTGAACTATACATCCTAGCAAATACAACTCCCAAATGTCAAGTCTATTTCCCCCAAATTCCATCAGTGTTCACAATTGGGCATATTG